CCAGCTCTACACCTTGTTATCTCAGGTTTAAATTCAGTTGGTTTTCAGTCGCTAAGTGCTTAGTTTAAATTAACTGGCTAATTCCAGCTAGTTGCCAAAATATCAAAACAAGCCTAAGGTTTCCAATCACACAGCCATGTTTCAATTTTAGACATCTTCAGCTATACACAGGCAGTTTTTTTTCCCTGTATAAATCTCTAAGCTTAGAAAAGTACTTTATCTCTTAAAGGAACCACACACTCTACACAACTTCATAACACTTCTCATCAGCATAAACAGAAATACATTGACACCAAGCCATTGGAAAAGACATTGGTATAGGTGACTAAAAATTTTATCAAACAGAAAGCTTTATGTGAGCAGCTAAAGGTGAGAGAGAGAGGTAGGGGGAGAGGTAGAGAGATGGAATGGTAACTGAAAGGAATTCCAGAGACTAGGGCCAAGACAGCAGAAGGCCCAGCAACCAAAGGTGGGGTGAAGGAAGCTAAGATTCATATGTGGCCAAAATTATTCAAGGCCTGGAAGACTTTGAACAGAAATGAAAAATGAGGATTTGAAGATTGGGGAATTGATGGTCACTCAGGAAATGGTGGCAAATTTGTTACGTCACTGGACAAGTAATCCATAGGCCCAGAATCATGTGCTGCAGACACTGGATTATCAGATATCTGGAAAATAAAGCTGCTCTCGGTAATGGTAACCATGAACCCATCGCTGATTGATATAAAAACCCATCTGGTTTACTCATGTCCTTTAGAGAAAGAAATCTGCTAACCTCACCTAGTTTGTGTGACTGCAGACCTACAGCAATGTGGTTGATTCTTAACTTTCCACTGCAATGGCCTAGCAAGATATTCACTTCAAGGGCAATTAGGAACAGGCAACAAAAGTTAGCCTTGCCAGCGATGCCAATATCCCATGAAAAATCAAAGAAATAATGAATAAAATGCAGGAGTGATCTGTAAATGAGACTTCACAGATGTGAATTAGGATACAGGTAGCTGAGTTTTGGATTAGTCCAGCTTAAGGAAGATAGAAACTTGAACCAAAATAGGTTGGAATAATCAAATCTGAAGGTTTAAAGGCATGAATTAAAATTCAACAGCAAATGGGCTGCGCCAGTAGTGGAAACAGATGATCTTATTGATGTGTAAGTAGATGGTCTTTGTAAAAAAGAGGGTATGGAGTATGGAAGCTCAGTTCAGGTCAAACAGGGCAGTGTGGTTACAAACATGGGGAGGCGATGGCCTAGTGGTGTTATTGCTAGACTATTAATCCAGCAACCCAGATAATGCTCCCACAGATCCAGGCTCAAACCTTACTGTAGCAGCTGGTGTAATTTGAATTTATTCCTTTTTTAGAAAAATAAATCTAAAATTAAGAGTCTAATGATGACCACGAAACCATTGTTTGGGGAAAACCCCATCCAGTGGTTGACACTTAAGTCCCCTCTGGGTAATAAATGCTGGCCTAGCCGGAGATGGCCTCATCCTGTGAATGAATAAAACAGTATGTTTTGGCCTGAGCTAGAGGTCAAGATGAGGATAAAGTTGGTGGTAAGAGAACAAAGGGTACAGCAGAGTTATAACAGGAGGAATTATCAATTCATCCAGGAATGGATGTTGAACAAATATTCTGACAACACAAAGGCAATGGAGGGAGCAGGACATGTCATGGTAAGGCAAAGCTCAGAGTTATCTGTATACTAATGAAAATTGTCATTTTGTCTTCAGATTGTGAAAGTGTAACAATATATCGGAGAAAGAGATCACTCAGTCCATCATGTCCACACTCTTTGTAATATACACTAAATTCAACTTCCAAGATCTTTCGCCATTCTTCCTTTTCAAGAAGATTTCCAATTTCTTTTTAAAGTTACTTTTGAATCTGATTCCACCAGCCTTTCAGGAAGTGCATTCCAGATAAGTTGCTATTAGTTAAGCGATAAATATTGTTGTAAATGAGGGACAGTCATTACCAAGTTTAAATTCATCATACTGCAGAATCCCGTTCCCAATCCTGTCATACGTGGAAAAGAGTTTCATTGCCTGTTGGTGGTTTGTCTTCAGCCAATTGTCCATTCGATCCA